CATCTCATTTTTGCATAAGCTATATGTAAATCCTTCACCTCCGATCTGCTGGCTTTAATCAGTTGATGTGTCAAGTTTCCTTCTTTCTATGGATTTTTTTGTTGCCATTCTTTGTGAGTCCGGTTAAAACCTGCAGCCCATGCAAATAGCAGAAAATCAAGTACTGCAAACGAAAGCACCAGTCATGGGATGTAAATATGTTCTCCAGATCAGCTGTGATCCAAATGGCAAAAAACAGATATTTATGTTAGAAGTTATTGCTTTGCCTGAGATGGGACTCACGGATAAGTTCAGAGCAGGAGCTGTGACTTATGAGATGAGAACTGTCTCAATGTCTGTTACCGCATCAATCTTATTTCTTTTTTAGCTACCTTTTTTTTCTTTTTGTGGTGGATGTATCTTTTGAACCATTCAAGTCACACAAGCAACAATAGATATTATTATATTATTGTTATTTTTTTTCTGCTGTGTGGCTTGGGTTCGAGTCAATGTGTCATACCTTGCATAATAAGTTATATTTTGTTGCTAGTTGTGGGTGGTTCTGATTCTTCCATATCTGAGTTCTGAACTACAATGGTGGAAGAAAATTCTTCATTTGTCAAAATTGTGCTTCATAATTGTGAAAGACTTCAGAGCTTTTCTGTGATCACATAGAAATTGGGTGGAAAAGCATGATTCAGGTGTTTTAGCGTGTTTTGACCTCTTATACTAGAAGAAGTTATAAACTACTGTAACAAAGAAAAGTTTGATGGTCATCTGTGTTCTTTTTCGTCTTTGTACAAGTATAATTTCAGCTTTGGAAAACTTTCATGCAACACAATGCGATTGAGGAACTTAGGGTGATGAATTTGGCTACCATTTTTCCATCAAAACACTCTTTTCAAATATTTCGACTCAATGTAAACCTGGTTAACCGAATGTAGGAACATGGAATAAAGGAAAGAAGCTCTAAAATGAATTTATGCGCTAAAGTTGGGCTAGTAAATTTGTACTTTTTATATAATGATGTTACTATGAGAAACAAACAATTTTTCATTTCAGTATATGTTCGGCACTTTGCAGCTAAGTTTGTTTTTACTGAATTGCAGGCTAAGAATAACGCAAGATGAATGCCAAAGCTGCACCAGGTTGTGTCACATAGTAGAGATGGGATGAATCATGTACCTTTGAATTGTATACGGTTTGCTTTTACTCAGATTTCTGAGGGCTCAGTGATTAGTGTGAGTTGTATTGTACTCGTCATTTTCCTTGAGTGTTCATAGCTAGTTTGATGGATTAATGTGAAAATCTAATGTGTCTATTGTTTGCTCATATCATCTTTATGGGAATTTTGAAAGCATGTTTCCTCGTCGTCTCCCTTCGGAAATTTTAGCATTCCTTTTGAAGATATTAATTTTGGGAATTCGAAGTTCGTATAGCTTTAAAGATTTGGTGCAGCGGTAGCCTATTGGTTAATTTGTTCAGTGTTTATTGCCTACTTCGCATGCAGATTCTTCGGTAGTTTTGCTGTGGGATTTCTTCTTTAGTCTACTACTCCCAGTCCCAGCTCATCACTGAAAAGATGTGACAGAGAGAAGTAGTGAAAGAAAACTGGAATATTTTCGTACTAACTTTTATCACAATTCACAAGTATTTGTCAATTAGTATCAAAATCAGCATTAAAATATTAGAACGAATCTCTGTCGCTAGATTTCTCAACAGTCCTAAATTTTTTCCTTCGCGATCTTGGAAACAGTAATTGTTGGATCTGCTTCTCAGCAGCACTCTCAGATGTTGCCTGCCATGAAGAAGACAGGTAAATGTTTAAATGACATGGAAAACCATCATTAATATGCATGTTTATATATGATGCAAATAACAATACTTTCATAATTTAAGCTAGGTATTGCTTTATTGAGAAACTACTTTAGTTGAAGGGTTAATCATCCGAAGATCAGCTGTTTGGAGTGAATATGAAAATCTGAAATTCCAAATCCCTTTGACACAAACTTTGCTAAGAAGGATCTCTCCATTTCAAAAACCCAGTTTTCACAGTTCCATGGTTTATGTTTACAGAAATGGGAAAGAGAAAAATTGAAAAAAATTTGACGCCCTAGCTAAAAGCTCATTTAGTCTAGCGCACCATTGGTATTACTTTTAAGGTCCCAAAATAAGATTCATGCTCTCGCTAATACCATAACTTTCTAATTATGGATCAAACATGATCATGTAACAAGATAAAGGGGAAAGGATTATAAAGCAAGACAAACAGGATCATACAACTAGGTATTAAAGGGGAGAGGATTATAAAACAAGACTCTTTTAATGGTTCACGGGATATGTTGTAATTTCAAGAATGGAGTATCTTAGGAGTAAACTTATTTATTAAGCAAGATGATTTATTGGGCCAGTAGCACGAAATCAATGTTTTGCCATACTTGTTTATAGCAGTTGTACCTTCAGAATGCATAAAACAGTAATATTACTTACACGGACTTTAAAGTGAAAACGATGAGTTAGCACTTCAGATCCTGAGAAAAGCCTAACATCCATGCCAAGACTGTCTATTCCAATCAAATTCGCCCCCTGGATAGTTCAAGTAAAAGATTCCATTAATAAAAGTAAACTCAGTTGAAGAAGTGACGAGAATATACAGAAAAACATAAATTGGTCTAAAGCAAGAAAATCATCACAGCCGTAATGAAGAAGGATGCAGAGCACTTTGATTCCTCAATAATCAATCACAAAAAGGCATACATAATCATGGTAAAGTCATTGGGCGTATGAAGGCTACAGGATCATTAAGGTATAAGCAGTTGATACAGTTTTACCTAAGACTATAATCAGATAGCCATACACAAGCAAAACCAAAACTAATAGAGGAGAAAAAATTATCATCATGGGCCAAAAAAGTGTAGACCTTCTACGAGTACGAAACAGTCTTTTCTTTGCCATCTTTAACTCGAGCATTCTATTTTGCCCTCTGGATTCAAGCATTTACTTTCAAGCAAAGAGATCTCAAAAACAGAATCCAAAACCCATTATTGATGCAAAAAGGGTGGCTCGAGAAACCAACAATTTTGATGACATAAGCAGAAAACTACAAGGATGAACATTTCCCTGTCCGAAATTGCAACTAGCAAGTGATGAGTACTGTAGTTGGTTAAATTTCAGAGCAGCTTCATTAATTTTTGTGCATGTCAATCAGACATTTACTTACTCTTAGGTACCTGTCCTAAGAAGTTGTAGGAAAAATGAATAATGTGTAAATGAGTAAAATCTTATCTTTCGATCACACATAGCTACTGTTTCTTTTTCATTAGTATGTTTTCCTTTATTTCCCCCTGTTCCTCACTTTTTACCTTTCATTCATTGCGCTAATTATGCGATATCGAATCTCTGCCGTCAGCAAAATTTTCCGCATGATCCCTCCAAATCTTCTCTATTATCCTTGGGAACTGTTATCAGGATTAGAACAGCACACTCAATTTATCTATGCCTCCTGGTGCTAACCAAAAATCCTATACCCCAGTTCCTCACTTTTTACCTTCATTGATTGAGCTAATTATGCAATATCGAATCTCTGCCTTCATCAACATTTTCTCTATGATCCCTCCAAATCCTCTGTATTATCCTTGGAAACTGTTATAAGGATTAGAACAGCACACTCAATTTATCTACGCCTCCTGGTGCTAACCAAAAGTGCTACCGTACTCAACAATATCTACATGCCATAGCAGGCCACCAGAAAATTTTATCACTTCCAAAACACTGTACAACCAAAAATGCCAATCTGCAACCTTCACCAAAGATTCAGCTACTGAAATAGCACTAATGATGGAACACTTTTAGAGCACAGCCTGTAACTCATAAAGTCTTCTTTTGGATAAAGCAGAATCTTGAGTGATTTTTAGAGAAACCCCTTTGCAGTATTCAAAGATATACACAACCCCAAGAGCCCCACCCCACAGGAAGAGATCAGAGAATACACGTAATAACAATCTACCTGCATTCATCAATAATTTTTTTTATTTCAATCTTGGTGTTCTTTCCTAGACACATCTTACAACTTCATAACTCATAATCGGTGATACATATGGACCTCAGAAACATATCTCAGAAATATCAGTGAAATTAAATGGTTAACCGATGATGAAGAATAGGAATTAGACATATTAAAAAGTATTGACAAGGCACTGCAACAATAATTATTATATAAAAGGAGAGAACTTTTCAAATTTCTCAAAGTAATTTACTTTCTGAATTATGTTACAAAGACTAAACATGCTTTTAGTATATGAATATTAGTATAAACCAGAATCAAAATAAGAGACGGGATGGGGAAGTAGGATGGAAAAGACCAATTTAAATACATTCAGCCAGAAAGTTGGATGAATGTGAAACATTATTCAGTTTCTATGTATTGTGCTTAACATTTATCAACAAAAGAACACACAAAAAATGGTATTCCCAACAAATAAGAAATTACAGTTATAAAAATAACCTTCTCATTCACATTTTACACCACACTGATTCTTTTCTATACCCATTTATCATAATGCAATATGTTGAAAACAATCTTACATATGATGATCAACCAAAAGATTTTCTATTGCAACAGAGAAAGACAGACACAGGATATTCTAACTGACATGCGCCCCTTTCATGTCAAAGTGTCAAGTGCATTGGTCTAAGAGACTAAATAGAAGCTCAGTGGCCATAGAAAGGGCTTTTGTAATTTAGCAGGCCATTTGACATCAACGAACGTGTGGGTCAGAAAAAAAGTGTCAAGAGTATATAAGTTGAATCTGAAGCCAGGAAAGAATCTTGGACCTAAGAGTGAAGTTTCCACATCAGGAGTGGATGATATATTATTTTTCTTGAAGGAAATCTAAACTAATAGCAGCATCTAAAGAAAGCACTTGCCAGAATAGAGTCCATACAAGCACTAAAAGGCAAAAATCTGCCCCTTCAATTGCAAACAAAGAAAGACTAGTTCTAGCAAGAGTGGATTATATAATGTTTTCTTGAAGGAAATCTGAATAGCAACATCTAAAGAAAGCACTTGTCAGAATAGAGTCCAAACGAGCACCAAAAGGCAAAAATCTGCCACTTCACGTCAAACAAAGAAACACTAGTACCAGTGGTGCTTCGCACATAGAAATCAAATACTCACTAAATGGTGTAATTATGAAAGAAAATGGATCAGTTTATGCAATCAAGGTAAAATTTTGGAACATAATCACATAATATATGAAAATAAATTTTGAAAAAAATATCAATAGAAATAGCAATCTCTAATAATATTTTATTCATGGAAACACAAGATTATTGAGGCATGAGTTAAATAGGACCACTCTGTTACCTCAACAATGAGTCCCTTTTTTTTGCAGAGAGCTTTAAGTGCGAAAGAACATTTTGTTCCTTGATCGCCATATCGCTCGACAAGCGATGGTGCTGAATGTACAAGAATATCAGGTTCAGCATCTTCAAAATCTTCCAAACTGATGTCCAACTGCAAAGAGTTAAAGAATAAGGGGCAAGGATATTTATATCCAGAAGTTCAAGTGGCAAAAAGAGAGTACACTCAATACTGTTAACGCATACATTATCATAAAAAAGAAAAGAAAAAAACAAAATAGAAATAATAATAATAATAATAATAAGAGAAGACACAAAGGAATGTTCCACAAGATTTGTATGATAAGATGCATGAACTGAATTGGACTATAAGTCACTTACTAAAAAATATTGAAGTCACTAAACAACCAGCAGATAAATGGAAAACCAATGAATCAACAAGTTCATCTTCTTGGTCGATAACAGAACCAACTTTAACAAAATAGAACCAAACCAAAACCCTCCCATGGATATAACTTAATAGGATACATTATTTTTGGAGATGTTACTCCCTTAAATAAATTCAGAAACAGCATTTTATGCTACAAATTGCATAGTCAAGCAATGTTGCCACAAAGTGTCTTGCAAAATTCTCCTCAATTTTGCACAGATAGTCTGCAGAACAAGATGCATATTCAATTATACAGGGATGATGTTTACTCCTCTATATATCTCTACTTGTCATAAGCATGACAAGCAGAGCTAGTGATAGAGATACATGCCTGAACACCATACACAGAATACAACTCCACTTTAGTGATTTCAAATTTGTAGATACTAGATCTTCTACAGCTTCCGTCATCAGTGTGACTGTTCACAGATTCTCCATCTGAAAAGAAGAAATGAGTGGCTTAGAAAAGGTAACTACTCACACATGTGAGGTTGAGCAGATGAAAAATGATTTAGGCTCCGTTTGGTTAGATTGAATTGTAATTGAATTAGAATTATAATACTATTGAATTGAAAATGAGATATTAATATTGCAATTCAATCTTAATTCTTTCGTTTGGAAGATCGTAAGAATTGACTAGAATTAAGGTTCTAATACTAATTCTTGTGTTTGGATCCTTATAAATTTATAAAATCTAGAATTAGAATTAGTTTTTTATTATCTACCTACAATTAAGTATTTTATTTCATTGAATAAAATAAATACTTAATTTTATATATCAAAACAATTTATTACTTACATATATAAGATAACAAAAATAAATTTATCATATACATTTATATTAGAACTTTTGTTGTTTGAGTAATATATATCAATTTTATAATTTATAGATACATACATATTTGTGGAAAAGCTTTTTTTATTATTACGTAAGTATGAATGTGATGATCGGAATTCTCACAAGTAACATGTAGAACATCCTTGTTCCTCTCCTTTTTATTATTTATAAATTTTTAATCTTTAGTTTTTTTTTTTTGGATTTTAGTGTAAAATTTTTACATAGTTAAAAGTAAAGACCATTCATTTATGTATAAATTAACATTAATACATGGTGCTAATTAATTATTTTTATTTTTAGTATATAATTACATATGGAATAATATATATTTCGACTTCTTGAAAGTTTACATAATTTTTAGTGAAAAAAATTTCAAGTATAGTTCAAAATACATTTGATAAAAAAATGTTAACCAATAGTTAATACCATCCATTTTTAAAATAAATTACAGGTGTCGTTATACATTTGATAGTTTTTGTTAAAAGAATACTAATTTTAATATATAGATCTCATTAATAATTATTAATATGATTTACACCTCGTTTGCACCATAAATAAAAACATATGTTAATTTAACAAAATGCAAAAAAAGGAAAAAAAAAAAAAAGAAAAAAAAAAGCCCAACGCAACGCTAAAAGAAAAAGGGGGAAAAAACGAAAATGAAAAAGGCAAAAAAAACGCATGTGCAGCGCTACACAAAAAAAAAAAAAAAAAACCTCAAACTTAAAAGGACCCGTTTTGTTATAACCCGGAAAACGACCCGTATAAAGCCCCTAGAGTTCGAATTGCAATTATTTGCTCCCACAAAAGAATTGAAAATAAAGAATTGAACCTCATCTTGAATTATAATTCTAATTCTGGAACCTCTATTTTTTCAGCCAAACACAATAATTGGAATTGAGGGCCTCCAATTCCAATTCTTGGGTCCAATTCAATCCAACCAAACAGAGCCTTAAAGAAATTGAATGATGTTCAGAGATCCGAACAAAAGGAGGTTTTGATGAGGCCAGGAGTATGCCTTTGACAGCGATGGTCTTTCATCCAATAATATGTCAATTAACTTTTGCAAAAAAAAAAAAAAAAAAATCCCTTTAAACTTTGCAATTTCCAGGCAAGAGAGATTAACGTCAAAGCAGAGTTTCCCTCATTGCAAGACTTAAACTGATTATTTTCTAGGGAGATCAAAAGCAAACTATGTATACAACAACTCAGAATACCTGACCAGCTACTGTCATCATTGTCTTCATCATTGAAAATCTTTCGGAGGTATGATTCTTCATCAACATATGCAGGCCTCAGATGTCCCCAGAGCGAAACACCATTTGAAGGACGGTCCATCATTTTAAGACACTTCTTATCGACAGCCTGAGAATAAAAAATAACTCCAAGGTCAAAATGCGGAACAAAGTACCTAAAGTTTCTTCTCACAAACATTCACTAGTATTTGGCAACGTATCAAGATCTTTTGCAAATAAAGTAATTATTTCTGGTTTCAAAATCTGTTCAATCCCTGATCAGTATGATGTCAAGAACTAAGTAGTCAAAGTTGTTTGAGTGGTCTAACACAAAATAGCCATAAATCTATGTGCTGTTATAAACAAGAGAAAGTTTACCTTGCAAATGGGATAAAACATGCCTCTACACAGACACTGCATCGTGTGTATTCAACACAAAGGGAGATTCCAAAGTAAAGTTTTGAAGGAAGCCGTTGCATAAATGTATATTTATTTTTTGGGTAGAAAAGAAAATGTTATGAGGTGTCAGTAAAACATAAAATAAATCAGGAGCAAATGTACAAACAGTCCCTCAACTTGGCCTCTCAAATGGACTTGGTCTTTTCTTTAAAATTAAACGGCTAAAAAAGGTTTATAATTATAACAAAAATAGTCTCTCATATGCAATTTTTTAATTTATAATTGATGGCTGATTCACAAATCAAATTAAATATCACCCATAATAGACTGCTAAACTTGAGGCTCACATGTGAACACAAGAATAGATCCACCAAGATATATAATATAAATTTTGTTGAAAAGTGGTCATCTACAACATGTGATCTGGTTTCGACTGAAAGGGGAAATTACAATGGAAAACAAGGCTAAATTAACAGAATAAAGGAGGTTACATTTTTTTTTTCCAAAAAAAAAAAAAAAAAAAAAAATTGGACGGCCCCAGAGAGAATCGAACCCTCGACCTCCTGGTAATAACCGTCCCCCATCCTAATCCCCTAACCACCCCACCCAACCCTCCCACCCCCGAATAAGGGAGGTTACATTTCCCAAGAATAAGCTATAGCTCACAAAATTTAATGGCCACCTCATGGAGGACTAAAGATTCTTGACCAACAGAAGTCATGCAAAAGCAAGTATAACTTGACATTTTAGTGTGGTACAACTTAGGTTACCTGACAAAGCAAGGAGTTACTACAACAGCCTTCTACAATCTGCAAGATGTTTATTACTAGGGCCATCAAAGTTTATTTTCCTTTTATGACCTTCTCCACCATGGCCATTGACAAAATATACCGTTCAAATCAAAACAGAAAACATGTTCTAAACCAACAAAACAACAACAGCGAAGCATTGTTCCAGTATAAAGAAAATATTGCAAAAAATGAAATTATTATGTGGGAGGCATGTCAACAACATGAAGGCCAAAACAATGCAAGGTTAGGGTCAGTTTGCACCTAAACCTCTTCCTTGTAACATGGATTTTGAGAAAAAGTATAAGTCCATGTGCAGAATTTTCAAGGAGCTTAAAATTAACTAATAGGCATTGAAGCAATTAAAAGTAATGATCACCTTTTCCAAGCACTTCGAGAAATGTACTGGATGGACCCAACTTGAACTGTTCGGCATACCAAAATCAACCCGCAGATCTGACTTAGAATTCTCAAACTGGTAAAAAGTACATGTGACTCAACCAAGGATTCATTGCTTCATAATGACCTTCAAAAGGAAAAGTTTAAGCCAATTTTCACCTCAAAGTCGTAATGGGAAGGTATATCATCATCATAACCACTCTCCAAAATGCTGTAGGCAGAAGAATTTATCCTTCTATGTTTATATTGTGGGATACCCATTCCAATTAACGCATTCTGCAAGAAGCAAATATGCAATGTAACAGTCATTGATGTGATACAAAATCAAACATCCCAGTAAATTAAATTCTTAAGGTACTAAAGTTAATGATTGAAACGACACAATTTGATTACTCAAAACATCCCCACCAACGCATAAAGAGCTTTTCAAATCATTAGTACCCATGCCATTGAGCCACTTTTTGGAATCATAGTCAGAGAAGTGCTTTCAAAGGTACAAGAAGAGGAAAGCTAGAGATGTATCTTGAAAAGACAAGAAGACCATTATGAGTAGAGTGCTTGTGGGTACACAAGCCTAAAGACAGTATTGCTAAAAAAGAAATCCAGAATGATTATAACACATATCTATCGCACCACTTTCCTCATAGTTAAAAACAGGCCCCTCAGACGACTTATTCCAAAATCCAATATTGTTGGACTTTAAAACGTAGAAATGTTTCTGGCAATAAAAAGTATATAGAAACAAACAACTGTACCAAGATACAAGACGGCTCTTAATTTTAAAAACAAAAGGCCTTTTAAGTTTAGGTTTGCAGCAGTACAGAGTATTAAAATTAATCATATAAAGCTACAAAACTGACTAATTAATTGAGCATAAATGCAATCCAAAAAACAAAAACTACTCACCACAGGGTTCATTGCGTCACGCTCTAGCAAGATATTCTCATCTTCGTAGATCTCAAAAAATATATCTGATTTTGCAAAAATTATATGAATAACTACCCAAAATCTGAGCTCTGACAAAATGTATGTATAAGGCATGAAATGGAAGCCAAACCTCCAAAGTCATCAACAACATAATGATATTCAGCCCATGAGACTTGTTCATGCGGTTCACAGTGTACAATACCAGGAAATAACAACAGAGCTTTTTGGTTTGCCTAAAATTAAAATATAATTAAAAAAATCAATCTCATAACAAACCAACAACATTAGATTTACAATCCAAGGCGACACAGGAAAACTTAACAATTGACTACTTTCACATAATTAACAGTAAATCTCTTCGAACTGGATGAAGAGAAAAGGGGAAACCTCAACCGCGGTCCTTGCAATTTCAGCATCTGTGAGTTTAGTCACCCGAGCAGTTCTATCTTTTTTTAGTTCTTCAAGAGGATGATATCCATTCTCCCCAATAAAATTCGAAGACTCCGGAAGTGAATCTGAGTAATCAGCAGCAACTGAAACCTTAAAATCACAACTCTGATGTCCATTAGGTAATTGGTGGAATTGTCTAACTCCAAAAAATGGATTTTCACATCTGAAACTGAGCAATAAGTGAATGAGTTGACAAAAAGAAAAAACAAACCTGCATAAAAAACTTTATCAGGAAGTAATCAATAAGTGGAATTAGGGCAGGGGACACTGGATTCACTAACTCCAATAATCAGGAGAAAGAAACCTACATCCAAGAAAATGACTCTGCCATGATAAGTGTAAAGCAAGTATATTTAAGTATGCATTAGCTCCAAAACATATCAATTTCAACTAATGTAGAATTTGCAACAGTTGTTAATTGGTTCTTTGCTGGAAATAAGTTTATATCCCACCATTAGAAGCCCTTGGCTTATCCAAGAATGTATCAGGTGCAGTTACAAAAAGGTATCCACTGTAAAGCATATGAAGCTGTTGCATTAGTGTGACATTAGACTTTAATGTTCCTATATACGATTTAACCCTACCTCTCTGGGAACAAGCATTGACAAACACTCAAGGAACAAGCACTAAAAAACACATGTCAAATAGCAAAAAGATAAAGGGCAAACCACAATCTCATAATCCAACCAAAATCTGGTTTGAGGAGGCTGGTAAAAAAGTTAAAATTATTGGATAAAAGATGGAATCAAATGAAAAAAAGAGAATTATTGGACACTCTCAAGGCTGTTTAAAAGAACATAGAAACAGAAAACATTCCCTTTCCATTAAGATGCAATACCAAAATGCCTTCTAAACACACATGATTACTCCGACGGAACATATCTATACTAGCCTAAAGCTCTGATGGTGTTGCTAGACAATTTCAATTTAGTCATCTCAATCCCCAAAGGCCAATAAAGCCTAAATCAATCATTGATGGACTAGTATTACTATCAATACATATTCAGATATATTATGACCAACCCAGTTGATCTTTGAAATATATAGGAAACTTCTTAAATACCTTAAGCCTGAATGATCAGAAATTTTATGAATGTCCGAAGGCGATTTGATCCAACTGTTGGTTGTTCCATTCGAAGTTGAGCAACCAATTCCTTCTGCTCTACAATAATAGCAGTAGTAGGGACCTGAAATACAACCAAGAAAAATGTTGTAGGAACAACAATGTCTGAAAGCACAACCAGACTCAGAAGATTCTTGTGCTTGCAGTATAATGAAATGTATGTCACAATTTTTTGCAATCAAAAGAATGCAAATATGCTGCCGTAGGCATTGACAAATACCATTTCACAAAATGAAAGATAGTAGTAAAAGTTCTACAGCCTCCTTGCCCGTTTCATAATTCAGTTCCCCTTCAAAACAATAAACACATCATTCCTCAAAATTATGTCTTCCAATGTCACAAAGAACCGGGATCAAATGCAAAATAAATTGAGATCACAACTCCATGCGACCAAGTTAACACTGAGGTTTCTCCATGAAAAATGCACCATAAAACATTATGGATGTATATCAACATATTAGCAGTGATTGCAATACACGTTGTCATTCTTGTTTGCTTGAAATTTACATAGATAATATCATTGCCACCTGATTTTAATGAAAAAAGTAGAAGCCGAAGTTAAGCCAAGCCAAATGAATTGAGTGAAGACAAAGAACTTCATCCCGTCAGCTTACATAACCATTAGCTAAATGGTGGCGCTGCAGTATTACAAAAAAATTTCCTTATTTTTTTTCCTGCTATCTGGAACTGGAAACTCAAAAGCATCTTTGTAATAATCGAGACGAAATTCGCCCAAGGACAAAGTATCAAAATATGCAGCAATAAAAGATATGCAGTAGTAATAAGAGATCACCAAAAGATCATCAAGGTATTGTTTAACTTCCCTATCTCGAAAATTCAATCCTCAAAGCCAAATTTGAAACATAAACTCTCCAATAAATATCATCCTATGGTATACTACAAAGTTTACAGCAATTCAATAATTCAGCCCATTTTCGCTGAAATATACGACCAAAATCCGCACTGGAAAACATTACTACGCATATATAAAAATAAAAATAAAAAAAAATCGGGTCTTGCATTACTGAATGTGCACTAATATGTACCCACGATCAATCATGAAGTGGTTCCAAATCAAACAAGATTACAACCGAACCCACCATTAAAAAAAATTAAAAAAAAAAAAAAAACAGAGGAAAGATGAGAATTTCGAAGGACTATAGAAACCATTACGTATAACCGTATAAGTGAGAGACAAAAGAGGCTAAATTACCAAATGAGAGTTTGGAGGAAGAAGGGGCGGCGGCGGCGGCGGCGGCGGCGGAGGCCGCGATCGACATGATAGCGATGGTTCTCTTTAGTAATTTTGTCAGAGGAAAGTCGAACTGACTGACTACAGTTTTCTGTTGCAATAATAGTCATAAACAGAAACAAAAATGGCAAAAGAGAAAAATGCGATGGTTTTTGTTTTGTTTTTTTTTTTTTTGGAAGTCCAAAATAAATTTAGCCAAACAAAAAGCATATACTTTTGAATAAAAATATGTGCTAGTGCTACACTGCTACTAGACAAAATAAAATGGAAATGTGTACACTACATTTTTAACCATTCATTGAAGAAAAATAGAAGCTCGTGATAATTGCTTGCAATACTAATTTGTATTAACCTTGTTTGAAACCAATGTCCAAGGAGAGTTTGGAAGTTTCCTAGCATCAATGGGTTTTTTTTTTTTTGGTTTGAAAAATATGCTACTCTCCTTCATTGTTTTTTTCTTTTTTTTTTTGTGATTTGTATTCTAGGCTTAAAAATGATTTTGAAACAGCATATGCTTTTGAATAAAAATATGTGCTAACGGACAAAATAAAAAGGAAATGTGTACCACATTTTCAACCATTCATTCAAGAAAACAAAAACATAAAAGTTTGTCTTTGTAATTTGTAAACTTGGTTGAACCAGTGTTCTTGGAGTTTTGAAGTTTCGTAGCATCAATTTTTATTTTTATTTTTTTGAAAAGTATTAGCTACTTTATAGCTTTCATATTATTTTTTGTTTTGTATTTTATGCAAAACAAAATCATAAAATGAAACACAAAATAAAATACGAAAACACGGAAGAAAATGAAAGTTAGAAAGCTTCAAAATCATTTTTTCAAATCACCTTCAAATCTATATGTATATATATATATATACATATCTCTAATAGCATCATAAGACACGTGTCGCTTAATTAGGATGATAATAGCTATTGCAGTATATTTTTGTGATAACCTGGTTAATATATTTTTACATTTATTCCATGTTACTTTTTACTTACTTATTAAAAATTACTTTTTTATATTTACTTTTCTATGTTACATTGATAAAAAAAAAATATTATACAGTTAAAAAAATATCCCGCCGTCTAGATTTTATCCGAATTTTATTAGAATCCGGCGACAACTTCCATGATTCCGGTAGCCATTATATTTTGGATTAATATGAGATTATTCCGATGATTGTAATATCTCCCGATCTTTCCCAACAAGATCATCCAGGACGATACCTTGAATACCTCGTTGGGAATGATTCTTCTGTTATTGAATATTCCATCTACGGCACATTTTCCAGCGATAGAAGGAGAAGGAAGGGACGGCGGGTGATTGTTGTTGAGTGTGTGCCGGGAATTGGAGGTCGATGCAAAGGACAAAGAGGGGCTCGAGAAGAAGGTGAAGGATCTTAAGGCAAAATTGGCAGAGAAAGAGAAGCTGATTGTAATTTTGAAATTGGACAGTGAAGTGGTTGCCAATGGAAAGAAGGCTGTGGTGGTGGAAGACTGGGAGATTAGTGCTGCTGATGGGAAGAACGGGAAAGGAAGATTCGTGGATGGGTTGAAGAAGATGGAAATGGCCGTATGTAACTGCAATTTCTTCTGTCAGTACTGCGGCTGTGATGGGAGCAGTTTGCTACATTCATGTCGCCAGGAGGAAGTGAAGTGGATTGTGGAAGTATTCGCAAGCAAGCATGACTTTATCCCTAATGTTTGAGTAAAGGGATTGCTTCAATTTTGTTAGATATAATGATTTTATTATCCCAGGATTCCTTCTTATTGAAGTTTTAGCAATATCTTGAATCTCAAAATTACAATAATTTTAATGTTGATTATTGACTATCTATTTTGACGAAATTTAATTATTTTAGCTGTTAATGTTGATTTTTTTTTTTATTTTTTTTTTTTGTGAACCAACTGTTGATGTTGATTACTAGCTTTCTATTTTTCAAATCGGATGTTCGTTTGTGTGGCTTTCTAGCTGTTTTTAAATCGGATGTTTGTTGTTTTTGTTATTGTAGCATAAGTAAGGAACCTAGATTATATTTCTAATAATATAAGTTCTTTTATTCATTCTTTTATTATCTTTCTATTTTTTTTAGTTGATTAATAGGAAGATAATGGAGGATTTTTTTTTTTTTTTTTTGTTGAATGACTTATATTAGGACTCCAAATGTGCAACGTTACCATTTTATAAAAGCCAATACAATTTTGAAAGAAAAATAAATTAATTTCTAAGTGAAAATTTTTTTTTTCATTGACACCACCATTCTTCCACGGTACCTTCATCTCATGATCTTGGCTTTTCTAAATACCTTTTTCCCCCTAAATGATTGTAGGTGGAACCAAGAAGAAATGAGTTTGTTAATTGATGGTGTATCAAATCAGTATTTAATGATATTTTGATCAGAAATGAGAAAGCTCGGTCAGCAAGGAAGAAAGAATAACTTACATTAATGTAAAATATTTTTGGTTTCTTTATATTTTCCAATTAAGAGATTGTCATTACAATGAAATCATTGAAGCAAAATGATTCCAAATAGGTTATATTGGCTTATATTTTCAAATAAGAAGTTCCTTTAGAAAAAAAATATAAAAGCAAACCTCTAGAACTAGCAAGATCAATTTACAATGGATAGTTTTCAAAAGACTTACAATAAGCTTGTGGTAGTTCTTTATTGTTAGTTTTGAAAAAAAAAATCAAATCCGAAAGATTGTAACTTCATAACAAATCTATAAATTTAGAATTTAAATAACTGTTCTATATAAAATGTTGTGAGTAATCATTTAGAAATTTAATATGTTTGAATAAAAAATAATAAACAAAGTGACAAATTGTTAAAGATAAAATTGAAAATGGAATGACGAGCCAGTTTTTTTTTTTTAAAGTGTTGTCAAAAATACTAAAATAACAACCAAAATCTTTACAGATTTTTAACCTATATACCAAAGACTTGAAAAATTTTAAGCAGGACGATACAGAGTGATATGCTATTAAAGATGAAAATAAAGATCGAATAAGACTTGCTGATTTTTCTTTTTCATTTATTTGGTTCAACGAGCTGTTAAAAATACTAAAATAGTAGCCAAAGTTATTGCAAAATAACATGCTGTTAAAGATGAAAATAAATATGAAATGAGACTTTTTTTTTGGTTTAACAGGCTGCCAAAAGTATTAAAATAGCAGCCAAAACCATTGTAGGTATTTAACCTACTAAAGACTCAGAATCTTTTAAGCGACACAATGCAGAGTATGGTATTAAAGATGAAAATAAAAATGTAATGAAACCCGCTACGAGAACTTTCATAATTAGATAGAACTATTAAAAAATTTCTCTTCAGAAAAGTAAGTAGTGTTTGGTTCTTTTTTTCTTTGGTTCAACATGCTATCAAAAGTTCTATGTAATAGCCAAAATCATTGCAGGCTTTTAACCTACCAAATACTCGAAGCCTAAGCATGACGATACAGAGTGACATGCTGTTAAAGATAAAACGAGAACAACCAGTTCATTTTATTCTTTTCTGTTTGATTAAATGGGTTTGCCAAAAATACTAAAAATAACTGCTAAAATTATTATAGATTTTTAAGCTATCAAAGAATTAGAACTTTTTAAGTGGGACGATACAGAGTGGCATACTGTTAAATATGAAAATAAAGATTGAATTAGACCCATAATTTTTTTTTGTTTAATGAACTGTTAAAGATACTAAAATAGTAGATAAAGCCAATGCAAGCTTTTAATCTATCAAAGACTTAGAATTTTTTAAGTAAGATGATCGAGAGTGACATGCTGTTTAAAATTTAAAGAAAAAGACTAAATAAGACCAGCTAGAAGACGGCACTTTCATAATTAAATAACAATAGCGAAGAAATTATATTTGGGCAAGTAATCCTTTGTTTCTTTTTGTTTTTTTAGTTCAAGGAACTGTCAGAAATATTAAGAGAATTTTTTTTTTAATATTTAAGTATACCTACCATTTTACTTTTCATGTTTTAAGATAGAAAAAGTATACTTTTCGCAAGTTAATGACATCATTTTCTCGCAAAATTTTTTTCAACCAATCAAAACTATTCTTTTTTTTTTGTACAATAACTATTTAATAATTGATACACCTCACGAGCATAATACTAGCTCATCAAGACAATTATTTATTGGTATATAACCCATAATATTCTAATTAATTAGACCATCAAGTAAATTGCATACTCATATTGATTAAGGACTAAGATAATGTTAGTTTCGAAAAAAAATCAAATCCGAAAGATTGTAAGTTTATAACAAATCTGTAAATTTAGAATTTAAATAAATGTTCTATACGAAAAATATGTGGATACTCATTTTAGAAATTTAATATAGTTAAATAAAAGATAATGAGCAAAATGACAAACTATTAAAGATAAAAACGAAAATGGAAAGATGAGCCAGTTCTTTTTTTTATTTAACATACTGTCAAAAATACTAAAATAACAACCAAAATCTTTACAGATTTTTAACCTACCAAAAACTTAAAAAAATTTAGTGCAGAGTGATATGCTCTTAAAGATGAAAATGAATATGGAATAAGACTCGTTGGTTTTTCTTTTTCATTTTTTTGGTTCAACGGAATGCTAAAAATACTAAAATAGCAGCCAAAGTCATTACAAAATAACATGCTATTAAAGATGAAAATAAATATGAAATGAGACTTCCTCCCCCTCCTTTTTTTTTTGTTCAACGGCCTAACAAAAGTATTTAAATAGCAGCTAAAATTATTGTAGGTATTTAACCTACCAAAAACTCAGAATCTTTTAAGCGACGCAATGCAGAGTATATGCTATTAAAGATAAAAATACAAAAGTAATGAAACCCATTGTAAGAATTTTCATAATTAGATAGAAACATAAAAAAATTTCTCTTTAGAACAATAACTAGTACTTGGTTCTTTTTTTTGGTTCAACAGGCTATCAAATGTTTTAACTAATAGCCAAAATCATTGCAAGTTTTTAACCTACCAAATACTCGAAACTTAAGCATGACGATACAGAGTGACATGCTGTTAAAGATAAAAAATAAAGATAAAATGAGACCAGCCAGTTCATTTTATTTTTTTCTGTTTGGTTCAACGGGTTTGCAAAAAATATTAAAAATAACTGCTAAACTTATTATAGATTTTTAAGCAATCAAAGAATTGGAACCTTTTAAGTTTGACGATACAGAGTTGCATACTGTTAAACATGAAAACGAAGATTGAATTAGACCCACAATTTTTTTTGTTTAATAGACTTTTAAAAATCCTAAAATAGTAGACAAAGTCATTGCAAGCTTTTAATCCACGAAAGACTTAGAATTTTTTAAGTAAGATGATGGAGAGTGACATGCTGTTAAAGATTTAAAGAAAAAAACGAAATAAGACCAGCTGGAAGACGATCATTTCAT